TCACAATAAGAATAAATAATTTACTTACTTTATTTCATTCTTATTCAATATATTAGAATTACCCAAACCTAATCTACATAAATAATCGATCATTGGATTAAGAACAGGCTTTGATTTTTGATCAATATTATTATTATCGTTGATAGCGCTACTATTCTTATTATTATTGACAACGCTACTGCTACTAATACTACTAGTATTAACTTGTTTTTGTTGTGATAGAGATGATGATGCCTTGTTGTATGGAGAAAAACGATTATTATTAGGTTGTGGATTTTTTTCTTTTGGTCTGGGTGGTATTTTTGGCGCAGCAGCAACAAAACTGCTCCATTCATCAAATCGTATATCAAAACCTTTTGTTATTTCTTTCATTTCACGATGACAGATTATTGGACCATCTTTCTTTTTCTCTTTAAAACTATCAAGCCTTTCCTTTATATTAAGTTCGAACTTTCCATAACGAATAGCATTTTTTTGAACCTCTTCTTCATTGATCTTTGGTGATGGTTGTGGTATTTCTTTAGAGGGTAGTGATCTTTGATTCTTCGGAACTTTTGTCGGTGGTCCTGTTTCTCTATTATTGTTGTTGAACCTGTTCGAGTGTTGTTGATGGTAATGATAAGATGTAGAACTACCACTACTACCACTAATATAGGAGGAACTTTGATAGGTATTTACATTACGTTGAATTCCAATTCCGTTATTGTAGTGTGTTGAATATGGTTGTCGTGGGTAAGGGTTGTTTCTATATTGACGACGACTTGTGTCTCTTGTTTTGAATTCCATAAGAATTGGAGTATTATTAAAATAATCAGAAGTAACAGAAAAAATTTTTTTTTTTGCTAGTGAATAAGTAAAGATTATAAATTTTTTTGCAAACTACTTTTTTAAAAAAACTAGACAAGTGTGAATTAAAAATTAAAAATATATACATCATACCTATCTTGATAGTTTTCCTTTTTAAAAGGCAAATCAAATTGTATGCAATATTTAACTGGATAAAAGGCCAATACCGAAGCAAAACAATCTAAAGTAATTGTAATTGATGATTTTGTCGATTTTTTGTTCCAGAACGATTTGATAATTTCGTGTCTTTCTAATTGTTCTGTAGATAAATGCTAATTATATAAAAAAACAACAATTATTATTTGAAATAATACGACTATAAACAGATATATAAATACATATAATAATTTTACCAAAGCAAAAATATTAAACTTATCGTGAAAATTGCCTAATTTATTGAACAACCAATTGACTCGATCGCTATTATCACAGAATATAATGATTGACGTTGATGCATTAGATGAAGACATTGTTGTTTTTGATGAAGATGGTAATGGAGATGACGATAATTGTCTATTATCATCCATGTCGTCATTTTCACCACTACTTCCACCACTGTCATCACCGCTAATTTCATCATTACCACTGCCATCATCATCATCATCATCCCCATTACATTCATCGTCGTCATTATCATCATCATCATCATAATTACCAACATTAAAAGAAACTAAAACCATTTTTAAAAATTCAAAAAGCGCATCTAATTTTTGATCTTCTTTATCAACAATCGAATAATATAATCTCAACCCATCTTTAATATGTGACGAGTCATCAATAACAATATGTGGTTCTTGTAAAATTCTATTTTTAATGTCTGCCAAGGTAAAAGTTGTTGCCGTGGTCATTAGGACACGCTGAACTCTTTGACGATCATCAGTATCATATCTTCTTGCAAGCCGAAAAATTATGTCAAAGGTTTGTGATCGAAATGTACTGTTGAACATGATACAAGAATCTTCGACCACTACCGTTTTCACTCCCGAAAAATCGATTCTTCTTTGACTTATTAAATCAATCAATCTGCCTGTATAATATAATTTATGTGATGTAAGCAGGTAGGTGTGTATATATATTATTAATCGATCAATCATATTATATTAAATCCATTAAATTCATTTATATCTAAATTATTATTTATTTTTACCTGGGGTAGCAATAATAATTTGTGGACTATTCATTAATCTTTCGATGTCTTTTCTTAATGGAAATCCACCAACACACGTGAAGCAAGAAAGTTGTAATTCTTTTCCAAGAATACTAAGAAAATCTTGAATAACATAACAGAGATCTTTAAGATGAATGATAACAACGGCTTGACAAATTTTTTCCTCGGGTTCAATTTGTTCAAGGATAGCAGTCAAATATGTTAAAGCACGCTCTTCACACCGTGGAACTTGAATTACGCAATCTTTACGTGTCAGCAATGCAGTTATTCCTCGTTGTTGCAAAGGTGTAGGTTTTGCAATACTATGTAATGTTGGTAGTGGTGATGATTATTGAAAAAATATTTTTATTAAAAACAATTAATTAATAATAACAACAACAACAACAATAATAACAATATAATTGATGAAGATTACTTTAATTCGCGAATTCCATTCAATACTTCTGGTTTAAGTTTCATTTCATCAAAAGTAGTCACAGCTGTCGAAACTTCCCAATTATCTTTTAACTTTTCACGTTGATTATCACGTTTATTGTTGGCTGTTATTGCTTGCAAAGATTTTTGTTTTTGTTGTTGTTTACTCATGTTTTCCGTTGTAGTAGAACCAATAGCATCTCCTCTTCGATTCTACCATCGTCATCATCATTATAAATTATTTTTTATAAAAAATAAAAATATAAATAAAAATAGAAAAAGATCATCAATTATTATTATTAAAAATATATTTATACTTGAAGCTTAGAGGAAATTCTAAAGTTTTGACGAAATGGAGTTCGTAATCTATTGGATAATGATCTTGGTATATTTGCAGCAATTTGGTTAGATTTTTTAAAATCTCTGGATTCGCTTTCATCACCAGATGTTAATGATTCATCTATGTATATGATATTTAAATGATGTGTGTTTTAATTAAATTTTTTCTTTCTTTGCCAAACTTTTTTATTTACTTTCTAATAAAAAAAATTTTTTCAATAATCATCACCACTACCAACATTACATAGTATTGCAAAACCTACACCTTTGCAACA